GCCAATATTTAGCGAAAACGTATGCTCTGTGCAACCATTTTACGGCATTTTTCGCAGAAAGGCTAAAAATGGACTGAGATCGATCATGCGAACGAGTCCAATATTTAGCAAAAAGTCGGCGATCTGATCGATCTATGCAATGAGGCCAATATTTCGCCAAAACCCATGCTTTGTGCAGCCATTTTACGGCATGTGGGCCAAACTGCAGACTTTTTCTTAGAAAGGCGAAAAATGGACTTCAATTGATCTATGCGAATGAGTCCAATATTTAGCGAAAACGTATGCTTTGTGCAGCCATTTGACGGCATGTGGCCCAAACCTCCGACTTTTTCGCACAATGCCGAAAAATGTACTGAAATCGATAAATGCGAATGTGGCCAATATTTAGCGAAAACGTATGCCCTGTGCAACCATTTTACGGCATTTTTCGCAGAAAGGCGAAAAATGGACTGAGATCGATCATGCGAACGAGTCCAATATCTAGCAGAAACGTATGCTTTGTGCAACCATTTTACGGCAGCATCAGACTTTTTCGCAGAAAGGCGAAAAATGGACTGAAATTGATCTATCCGAATGAGACTTTTTGCGCCAGAATGAGGCTCGAAAAATGGACTGAAATCGAAATCGATCAATGCGAATGAGACCAATATTTAGCAAAAACGTATGCTTTGTGCAACCATTTTACGGCATGTGGCCCAAACCTCAGACTTTTTCGCAGAATGGAGAAAACTGGACTAAAATCGATCTATGCGAATGAGTCCTATATTTTGCCAAAACCCATGTTTTGTGCAACCATTTTACGGCATGTGGCCCAAACTAAAGACTCTTTCGCAGAGAGGCGAAAAATGGAATTCAATTGGAGTCCAATATTTAGCAGAAACGTATACCTTGTACAACCATTTTACGGTATGTAGCCCAAACTTTAGACTTTTTCGCAGAATGGCGAAAACTGGACTGAAATCGATCTATGCCGATGAGTCCTATATTTTGCCAGAACCCATGCTTTGTGCAACCTTTTTACGGCATGTGGCCCAAACTACAGACTCTCTCGCGCGAAAGGCGAAATATGGACTTTCATTGATCTATGGGAATGAGTCCAATATTTAGCAAACGTATTCTTTGTGCAACCATTTTACGGCATGTGGCCCAAACCTCAGAATTTTTCGCAGAACTTGGGGCGAAAACTAGACTGAAATCGATCTATGCGAATGAGTCCAATATTTAGCCAAAACGAATGCTTTGTGCAACCATTTCACGACCATTGGCCAAAACTACAGACTTTTTCGCAGAAAGGCGAAAAATGGACTTCAATTGCTCTATGTGAACGAGTCCTATATTTTGCCAAACCCCGTGCTTTGTGCAACCATTTTACGACCATTGGCTTAAACTACAGACTTTTTCGCAAAAAGGCGAAAATGGAATTCCACTGATCCATGCGAATGAGTCCAATATTTAGCCAAAAGGTTTACTCTGCGCAACCATTTTACGGCATGTGGCCCAAAATACAGACTTTTTGGCAGAAAAACGTACTTCATTCGATCTATGTGAATGGGGTCCAATATTCAGTCGAAACACATCCTTTGAGCAATCATTTTAAAACAAGTTGCCCAAACTACGTACTTTCCACAGACATGCGAAAAAAAGGATGATTTGTGCGACCATTTTACGGCTTGGGGCCCTAACTACAGACTTTTCTCAGAAAGGTGATAAATGGGCTTTAATTGATCCATGCAAATAGGGTCTAATATTTAGCACAAACGCATCTTTTGAATAGTCCTTTAACGGTAAGTGGCCAAAATATTTTAATGCAATGCAATGCAATGCGATGCGATGCGATGCGATGCGATGCGATGCGATGCCGTGCACAGTGCCGTGCCGTGCCGTGCCGTTGGTCAATTTACAATGCCGTACCGTACTTTTATTACTGTACCGTACCGTACTTTTATTACTGTACCGTACCGTACTTTTATTACCGTACCGTACCGTACTGTAATGTACTTTTATTACTGCACTGTACTGTAATGTATTGTAAAGCTTTATTTAACCTCGGCCTCTCCTTCGTCCTTAAATGTTCCCCAGAGAGCCGTGCTAGCTAATAACTACAAAATTAAACATATCAATGAATGGTTACATGCGAAAAGATAAATTATATGCATGCATTGTTATTTAATAATTCCTTTAAAACTATTTACATCTTTAGCTTGTTTGGCTTCTTCGGGATGCAAGGTGAGAAGGTTAAGGCTCAAAACACAAAATTAAGAATATCTCTGGTAATAATTGGACAAGGTACTTTAAACTTGCCAAGCTTGTTACACCCAAACAAATACACCAGACGGTGTATAATTTGATGTTGCTATGGCAACATACTCGGTTCCAGGACTCTGTCGTGCAGAAATGATAATTCCTGTATTTGATCTTCAAGAAAGGTTGTCTGCTTCCTTTAGTTTGGTTAAAAGACCTAGTGTAATGTAATCGTTGTATATTTTTCAAAAAGAGCCAAGTATTTGAATTAAAGAGGAAAGGGACCAGTGGTTCTTTCAGATGGAGGTTGTTCTGAAACAGTATGAGAAAAAAATGAGAAAAGATTGTAAAAAATAACTGAACTAAACTAGAAAACTTTAGAAACAATCATGAAAAAAGTATATAACTTGGTTTGGCAACATAAAAACAAAAATTATTTTTGATGGCATTACGATGAAAACCAGAAATTGATATGTAGTAGTGCTAATGTCATGTTGGAAAAAGTGTTACACTGTAATTAGTGTACTTACAGGGAATAAATAAATTTTAAAATATTGCAGTAAATGTAGAAATTACAGTTTATATGTTGATTATAATTATGTTTGAAATTGTTTTCAATAAACAAGTCTTGCATATACATAATAGGTAGATAGTACGTTAGAAATTGTAAGTCCAGACGTTTTGTTTCTGGGTGTGTTTCTTTTTATATTTCAAGTTAATAAAGAATGCTTCTTACTCAATAGGTTTTAGATCCACACAAGTAGTAATATGCAACATTTTATTATTTCCAAGTGTAAGATCGTACCATAATAAAATCGTTTCAATGCTCTGAGCACTGTTGCTCCATGACTCTGGGACTTTTCATTTTCTGCATCCTTTAAGAAAAGCCTGCCACTACCTGGAGTGCCATAATAATAAAAAAATGTGGCGGTCAGTCTCCCGACCAGGGACACCGGAATGAAAAAAACACTATGACATCATAATAGTGTTTCTGGTACAAAGTGTCTGCCTAAGAAAACATATACACAAAATTTCAGTACTTATTAAAAGGCACTAACATTAACATGATAGGAAATACTGTCCAAACAAAATTCAGGAATGCAATTAGGTCTTTGTCATACCCTTAACTGCAGGCACCTCTTCTGAACAGTTACATTTGTCTTGCCCTTTTCCCTTATTTTTTGCCAGTAGGCATCATGAGGATCTTGGGGATCATCACTGAATCTTCTCTAAAATGACAAATACAGTATAATAATAAAAATAATAATAATAAAATGTATTTATGTAATACGTGTATATGTAATGCATGTACTTAATTAAAAGTCATAAGTTAACTTAAAAGTTATTTAGTTGTTATACAAAATAGGTAACTGTCATGTAAAAACTTGACTGCTGACTATAATTTACCAACAGTTTTTCTAATCACCATTGGCACTGACAAACTAACAAACACTGACCACACTGGTACGACATTCCATCCCCACAAATCTTGAATGACAAATGCTAAACGTTAAATGTAAAAACTTTAATGTACAATCCACTGAACTTGAATGTGGAATGCAAAAACTTGCATACTAACTAAGACAAGGTGAATGTACAAGGCAAAAACTTGAATTTTGCACAAGGAAAGTTGAATGGCGAAAGTGCAAACTAAGAATTTGTACAACAAATGTAGAAGCAAATGCAAAAAGAAGAATGAAAAAGCAAACATTGAATTTTGACAGGGATAAAATGTCATACCAATGCAGCCAAAGATGATTTTATTAACAATATTTTGACTACTTAATTTGATGGAGTATGTCTATGATTCAAGACTGAGAAATGTAATTGTAATGTGACCCATTGACTCCCCAGTCATTTTTGCATGTTAAAAAGAAAAGTAGAATAACTGGTAATTATTTAATATAGCACTTTGATTTCACTCGAAGAACACTGGGGGGGAGGGGTGCATGGAGAGATCCTAAAAAAAGAACATAATTTAACTTCATGGCTATTAGATTATTGATCTTTAATACTGAGCAAGGAGAAATAAACATGGATTATTGAAAGTAAAAATACGTTGGGTATTTTTATCTGTCTACCTCAAGAAGTTAGAAGCAAAGAGACTAATACCATACAGATTTTGCTAAATAGAGGATTGTTTAATAAACTGGAAAACCGGTTTAATTTGAAAAGCAGTTATTCACGAAACTACAGATAGTCTACTAGCTAAAGTAAGAAAACTTCAAACTCCTTTGAAAGATGATCGTTTTCTGATGTTGACTTATTTTGGAAATAACTTCAGGAGCATTCAATGTGCATTCTGATGAATTAGAGCTACCAGGGAATACAATAGGTCTATCCTATAGCATGGCGGGCTCTGTTAAACCAAAGCATCACAATTTTTGATTCACTAGAATGAAATCTGATGCACTCCATGCTGATAATCTTCTGTATCATCTTTTAAAGTATTCTTCACTTAAAGGACCCTAGTCAGCCAAGCCCTGAAATTCTTGAAATCCGCCATTCTTGATGCCATTGAAATTATGAAAATTGTGTGGTGAAGCAAAATCTTATTGCAGCGCCGCAAGTTGTGTTACTGGAAGTCTGTTAAAGCACCTTTAGCAGTTTTGAGGGGATCCCTTCGTTTTGACATGCTCCGCATAAAATATAATACCGGAAAACCCGTATGTAAACAAAATCAAAGGCGTGGCTGCCTAAGGTCCTTTAACACCTCTTAAAGGCGATGGATGCAAATAACAATTTTATTTTGTTCAGAAAATTTTCACATTCTCAAATAACTTGGGGGAGAGGGGATGGGGACGTATTTAAGCGGCCACAATTGGGACTTTGAAAACTGGCCACATAATAGAGGTTGGCCATTTAATAGAGGTATAAATACTTTAATAAGGTAGAAAAATGACAGTAAAAATAATTTATTGATCTGTATAGGAAAATGTTCCTTGAAAAGTGTAAATATGTGAGTGTACATAATTGAGTATGGGAGGCACGGAGAGATGTAAAGTGAAAAACCTTTCCATAGCTAGGGCAAGGTACTCAGGTAACAAAGCCAGGGTTAATCAGTGATGTGCATACCCCTACGGCCTCTGCAAGTCTCTTGAACCATAGAATAGTCATTCAATCACCACCAATTTGGCTTGAAAAGCAATAAATAATAACCTTGTGACAGCCAAAAGGTAGCTGAATAGACTAATCGAATACAGCAGTTTACTAACAAATAATTGGAGACTTTGGGAAGTGGCCACCTAATTATGGAGGGTGGCCGCTTAATAGAGGTCCTACTGTAGTACAAAGTACAGTAGAATAAAAAGGTGTTACACTTTAAACACAATCAACAATCTATACTGTATTTCCATGTTAAACTGAGATGACAATAGAGTGGATCAAGCAGAAGCCTACCTTTTTACGTCTAGGCTGTGAAGAATTGGATTCTGATAAATCACTGAACTGAAATTAAGAAATTAAGAAACAAATACTAAATACTTGAGGTAAAAAAATTAAACGAGAAAATCAGAAAGAAGAACTACTTCTATCAAACGACGTATTGGCAGTGATCGCAAAAAGTTTTCACGGTAAAATGCGGCCATTTCGACACATCATTTGGCGCCGTCGATGGCTACGGTGACAAAAAGCGCGAAATAAAAAGTAAAATTGAACAGTTCAAAACGTCAAATCGACAAAACGGATATATATTAGTTTTATAACAAAGTGGACGCATTGCTCAACTATGCTTAACGCCGAGTAAAATGTAGCGCTGCGAATTTTGAGTACAAGTTGATTGGCGAGACTGATCAGCTATTCAATGAATATTCAACAGGCAACACAGAAATTAGCATTGCAAATTGTATCAAAATGCATACGAAATATGCATATATATATACAAAAAGAAAGGTATAGGATTATTTCTTTTTCACGGAAAAAAAATAGACAAAGAAATAAAGGAGAAAGACCAAATAAAAATAAAATTATACCTGTTCCCTCTTTTCGCTTTGCTCCGCCATCTTGTTTCAGAAGAGCGCGTTGCTTGGGATCCACGCCTCCTTAGCATTGCCTCTTGTTTTACTGATTATTGGTAAAACAAGACTCTGAGCCAGTTACTGATTATTGGTAATTCTAGAATGAGGACATGTTGGCCGGCAACGATGGCAGTCTGGTCCGAGATATTTACATATCACTTCCGTCTTCAGCCCGAGCAACAATCCGTAGGTGCTCTACTTTGACAAGGCTGCAATTTAGGGACGAGATCAAGCTCTTACGCAGTCGTTCTTGAGACTTGAGGTATCCTCTTTATATCTGAACTTAATTGAGAGGTTTTCTTTCGCCCTTCTTCGACACGGGGTACCGAAAGCAGTGTGGTTCAACCCGTTTGTGAGTGTTTGTTGCCACTAAAGGAATATTTGCAAATTTCTGCGACCTTAGATGTTCAATTCCTGAATATTTCAGAAATTTCCCGGAATCGCAGCTTCGCATGGTATATGGAAATACCGGGTGATATAACCACGGTAACGATATCTACAAAAGCGTGCATTTAGTCCACTACGAAGCCAGTTGTAATATGATTAGAGGTTATAATAGCAAATATAGCAGAGTGGGTAATTACATTGCAAACGCATAGAACGAATCAAAAGCTAAACCAAGGCTGAAAACTGATGGCCAGTCCATCGGACTCTCTCTCTCTCTCTCTAGGTTTTCTCGTCGAAACCTTCGTACTGAAAATGTCAATGTTCTGGAGTATTTTGAACGCCGATTAGATGATTACGCGTATGTTATTACGTCCTTCGCATTGCAATGCGATGAAAACAGCACCAGTGATATAGGTTTCCCCAGCATTTGGCATTATTTGAATTACCTCGTTGACTACTTGGCAAAGCCGACCATTTGGAATGTCAGAATACGTAATTCTAGGTCCAGTTGTTTCATTTTCTACCAAGGAATACTGGTGTCGCCTTCTCAAGACTGTTTCGTAAGACACACCAGCCTCCTTAGCTACTTCTTTCCAAACACCATGAATATCATGCAGTCCTCGAATAACTTCCTCAGGGATCTGAAATCCTGGCCTGCCAGGCCTTCATGACCATTTAAACCACTGATATTTTCATGCAGAAGGTAAAGCAACTGAAGAAGTCCTCACTGGTATTGAGTGCTTCGCATTGCAATGTGAGGGACCAAATAACATACGCGTGATCATTTAATTGGCGTTCAGAATACTCCAGAACATTAATGTTTTCAGTGCGAAGGTTTCGACGAGCGTGATGGAAGAGCGAGGGCCGGATCGAACGTTGCAAAGATCTCTCAAAATCATCAATCATACTAGCGACTAAATACAGGAATGGCTCCGACCTGTAATTGGATGATAAAAATAGTAAAAGTTAATAACTTATATCTTAACTCCTTGCTCGTGAGTGTGGTTAACCGCGTGCCTCGAAGCGGAACAATGAAATATTAATGTGAAAACACCGATGAGCCAAACAAGAAATGGCTACTTACATAATGAAGAGAAGGTAGAGTCTAGCTTGTTCAGCGAGGTCATTCAGCGATATACCGGCGATGAAACAGTCATCCGCTGACAAGCTCCGCTGACAAAACTCATGTAGTCAGTTTAGGCGGACGACCAGAGACTGGAGCTATTCGTGTATTTCACTGCAGACAGGAATGGCTCCAAATCATGCGTATATTAATTTTTTTTTTCGTTCTGGCTAAATAATTTATACACTGAGATAAAAACTGAAAGAGCGATTTATTAGGTTCTTCTTATGTTGAAGTCTACAGTGCTTGCAAATGAAGCCCTCTTTTATTACTACAGGGCCATGTAGTTTCTAAGTTTTAAAATACTGCAGCAACTGCATCTCGCGTTTGGAAAATCACGCAATGTTGCGTGACGCTGCGACTAATGTTTTTAATTTACAGTCTGCTCTGCTGGAGAAATATGGCTTGGCCACAATCGAGGGAGTTTTTTTTTCGTGGAAAACTGATTTTCTAGGTTATTGTTCACATGAAGGACAAATCCATTCAGCGGGCTCTTCATCTGTTTTTGCACAACACCTAAAGGAAGAAAGTCGCGAATTAATTTTGCTTGGTAATTTCTAACAACTCCACTAGACCTAAAAAAGGAAGAAGACAAAACAAACCAAAAAAACGTCTTCCTAGTCAAACCAGTAGCAGTAGCTCTCGCACTGAATCATATCGAAGTACCTTGACTGTTTGCAGTGATGGTGCAACCAATCTTCGAACAGTTTTCGGCCATAACAAGAAAGAGTAAAATGATTTTATAAAATTTGTCCTAAAATTAATGAAGGCTGTTCATCACATGACGCTGTATTGGAACGAGTATATCTCGTTTGCTATTGTATCACACTACCGTTTTAGACAAGGTATTTATACCACCTAAATTTAAGAAAGAATGAGTAGAACATAAACCACATTTTCTGTAAAGTACACGAGCCATCCTAACCTAATTTGCCAACTGCTTTCCAGGCATCATCTGTAAAAAACCGCTTCAATTTTTCAAATTTGAAAATTTTTAGCTAAAACCGTGGCTCCCAAAATATTTCTCACCTTTCCTAACAAATTTTCAAAAGAAATTTTCAAATTTTCACAACTTTGCTTATTCCTACTCGTAGGTCCAGGCCGTTATGGTCATTGGCCCCCGCAGTAGCCGTTAACAATGGCTTACAAATATAGGCGTTTATTGTTAACTTGTAAAAATCCCTGAAGAAGCTTACAACAGTTAGACGAAACGCGTCAGAGAATAAAGAAGTTTTAAAACTACTGTTCGCACAGCGCTGCTCACCAGTTTAGTTTTTAATTTTTTTTTTCAAAAACTGTTGTTGACAAAATTATAAAACGTTTGAGTCTGAGCTATTCCTGTTGGAATGGCTTTAGTCTCTGGTCTGGTGCGAGTTCTCTGAAGTAGTTGACCTGTCACGCAACGATTCGGCCGACAGCTTAAAAGTTTCCTCGGGCTGTGTTGAGACCTACGCAAAGGATCTTTTAGCCCTTCTTTAAAATTAGAAGGAATCGATTGCAGAACTTAAGAATATATTTATACATATGTAATCAAGGGAAAAACTATTTATGTACGGAGCAGAGAAAAGGTCTAGTCCTGTCGTGACATTTGTTAACGTTCATCTTTCCGTAGTCCCAATACGTTGGAAAATGGCATCCTCAAGCACACCAGGAACAGCAGGACAACTCGTTAAACCAGAATACAGAAACTGGCTGGCTCTTGGTCATGCCTTAACGACGGTTCTTTGCCAGGGACTTCGTCCGTTTATTACGCGAGAGATGGAGGCTTTCTATAGGACTTTAACGGCAACAATTGCTGGACCCTGTACGTGTGTCCATGTCCCGAGAAGAAGGCCAAATGAGTTCCATGATATGACTGCATGCCCATGGGCGAACAAACTTGAAGTCTATCACCGTAGAAACAAACCAAACTGGAGGCAAAGTGATCCAGCCAAATGGATGGACCCAGTTCTTGGTCCATGGGAGATTGCGAAACTCTTCCTTCCTGATCTGGGTGGACATGCTGATATCAAGAGTGCAGACGACATGGACGTCACAGGTATCTTAAACCTAATGTACTGGTGCAGTCACTTTACCATTCCTCAGGCTTTGATTAAAGATGTTCGCGACATTCGAAACGACAAATGGGTGCATGTGCCGAGGCTTGAGTTACCCAATGCAGACAAGACTGTCGCTTTTGACTCCATTGAAAACCTGCTGAAGAGTCCTCACCTAGCCATAGATCCAGACGCACAGAACGGGCTCAGAGAAATCGAAAATCTTAAGAATGTTTCAGACTTGCACATTTTCGAGGCTCAGGTAGTAGCAGAGCTTATTAAAGTGCTGAACAAGGAGATTTCACACGTGACGCAACAGTCCCAAACCAGCCAGGAGCAGTTGGACCAAATGAAACAACTAGTTTTGCTTTTAGAAATGAGATTGGAAAGCCTGGAGAAAAAGAACGACATGTCATCGCTTTTTTGTTTCGTACTAAAAGGTTTGGAAAGCTTGCTCGGTACCCTCGCTAGAAATCTCAAACGGATCAGACAAGCCTTGGTAATATGGCTACTGATGGCTACATGTTTCAGCCTCTTTGTAAAGCTGGATGATGACACTTTTATCCGAGACGGTTAGTATTGTAAATAAGTTTTACCAAATAATTTTATTATCGATTTAGGCTGAGCGAGCTGGTTAAAGCTGCGGCACACCTTCTCCATCCTTAATTAGTTTAGATTTGGACGCCAAAGATTCGGGTCAATACCTTGTGATACGTGTGCTGAACGTTAGTGCCAGACAAGTAGTAAGAAAGCGTCTCAGGTCTGATGGAGGGGATGAGGTCAGGACCCCCACACCCTTCCCCTAGAACCACCACTGCCAAGTGATATTAGGAGCCCGTTTTTGTAACAGCGCAACCAGCCGGTTTTTTTTACTATTAATCGTCATAAACTGTCGCATGCTTGAGAAAACTTTTGACTT